GCGAAACCGGATCAAATCCTAGATGTAAAAGTAGAATTGAAAAACATCCTGGCAATTCAATGTTATCAAAATTGTATTCATCTACTTACAACTAATGATTGCTGAATGACAACAGAACAATGAAAGCAACGTGTTCCGTGATCACAGAACAATGAAAGCAACTTGTTCCGTGATCAATGTTTACATAAATCATAATTCATTCAAAACATCAAAGACTTTAGAAGTGTCACTTTAATGAAAAGTCATTATGGTACAAACAGTCGGATGAAGTTAGGAAAAAGCTTCTTGAATTATTTGAAACGAGAACACGTCCTACCGTCACAAGCTAAAAGGTCCACACCCAGACTGTACCCATGTGCACAGTAACAACTGAAGCTCCCCACAGTGTTGTTACAGAACTGCCCACAACCACCGTTTGCAGTGTCACATTCATCAATGTCTGAAGAAAGAAATATACTTAGTTTATTGTAACAGAAATGTTCTTAAAGTTACCATAGCATTTGCCGTCTTTTAAATCGATACTAATATTACTGAAATTTTCTTACCGTCACAGGCAAACCCGTCGACATTCAGCATGTATCCTGTGCTGCAGAAGCATGAAAAACTACCGATGGAGTTGTTACAAACGTGAGAGCAACCGCCATTGGCACTATTGCATTCGTTTATATCTGCGAAAAAAACAGATTCCGTGTAGTCACTGGCATATTTCCATTGTATGTTCTAAATAAAATGATTCGGCAGAAGCAAACGTTACATGTCTGGAAAATTGGTGTACTTTAAATGTCTTTCTTTTTAACAATTTGTAAACCTCCATTTGACCAATATTCATCTCATTATCCCCGAATAGTCAATCAGATATGCGAACAGCAAAAACAAAAAACTAGGATGTGGAAAAAAGCATGCTAATAATACCTACCATCACATGTAAAACCGTTGGCATTCAATAGGTATCCAGTGCGGCAGATACACTGAAAACTCCCTATGGTGTTGGTACAGTTCTGCTCACAACCTCCATTTGCTGTACCACATTCATTGATATCTAAAGTAAATTGACAAAAAGAAATAAACTCTGGTTAATGTCATTGTCTAACATCCCTGCATTCTAAAAACAATTGCATAGAAAAATTGTAAGCTAACTTTATTCCAACTAGTTACTAGTAGGTTCGTACCTTCACAAGAAACCCCGTCATCATTTAAACTATAGCCAGCTCCACAAGAACACTCAAAACTGGCGATGAGGTTGGTGCAGGTCTGGTTACATCCGCCATTCGCAGTGGAGCATTCATTTATGTCTAGAAAATAGAAAGAGCAAAAAATACCTGATTCATGTTCAAAACTAATGAAAACTCTATTGTGTACAGCCAAATGCAAATCATTTTTTATCATAAAATAATTTTTTTCAGTTTTTGTATTTGCCAAAGTTAATCCAGGAAATACGAAATACGAGAAAAAATACTTACCATCACATGCGAGGTCATCAGTATTTAAGATGTAACCGTGGAGGCAAGAACACTGGAAGCTCCCGATGTTGTTCGTGCAACTGTGTTCACAGCCACCGTTTACAGAGGAACATTCATCCTCATCTGTAGTGTAGAGCATGTGTGATTTACAAAAAGACATTACAAAATAAAATGTATTGCAAGAGGATTGTACATAATACAATGTTTGGCAACGACTATTGAACAAAGTAAAACAAAATGAGAGTAGAATTTAGTTTAACATTCTACTTACTAAAATTTAAAAACAAAACTTGCTAATATCCAATAATGTAGGGGTAATTATGACTTTCGGTATTTTTTGTTGTGAATAATTGTGAAAAGCGTATTGCGTAAAACATTAAATCTAGAGCATTCCAATTAAAATTCGAAACATTAGGAATCACATTCCGCTCTACATTTCATTGATACCATTACACCTTCAAAGAGGAAGAATCAACGATACCTACCGTCACAGGTGAACCCGTTAACATTCAGGATGTAGCCCACATCACACGAACACTGGAAACTCGGGATATGATTGGTGCAAGTCTGCTCACAGCCGCCATTTCCAGAAGCACACTCATCGACATCTGCAGTAAAACACATATGGCATTATACAAGTCAATATGGTTTGTTCATTGCTCGCGAACTAGGTTGCTGTAGTTAAAATTCTGTCAATTCTTTAACTAATTTTATATAAAATATCTAGTATCAATTATCATCAAATTTCCTTTTAAATGAAAAGAGTTAACTAGCTTATTATTATATTTAAAATATTGAAATCTACAATATATAAACAATAATAGAATCCACTGGGGATACGTATACATGACATAGAACAATGAATTGTTGTTAAAAGACTTATCAGGCTGCATAATATGATTATAATGCAGGTTCTATCATGAAAATATCACTATAAATATGCTCACCATCACAAGCAAATCCATCGCTGTTAAGGCTATAGCCATCCTGGCAAGAGCACTGGAAACTTCCGATGGTATTAGTACATATCTGCTCACAGCCGCCATTCAGAGTTGAGCATTCGTCAACATCTGTATCAAAATACATTAGTTTTGATTATTTCAGACAATTTAAACTGTACTGTGCAAATCATTGTTCAAACATCATGAAAATCGCAATGTCGGTGACTCATGTGCCAAAAGGCACGGTTGGAGTGAACCCAAGCAGCAACAAATTTAGGGGTTCTTCTAAGTCCGCCGAAAAATAGGTAGATTATTCGGGATTCTTAGTAAACAACAACACTTTCCGGTTAATATAAGGCTAATAAAATTAGATGCTAGAAATCACACTTCAGCCAATTATAATTTGATTTCTAAACATGGCTGCCAAAGACAAAACGTGCGTACCGTCACAGAAAAACCCGTTGCTGTTCAAATTGTAGCCAGTGCCACAGGAACAAGAGAAGTTGCCAATGGTGTTGGAACATGTCTGGTCACAGCCACCGTTTGCAATAAAACATTCGTCTTCATCTGTAAGCGCACATTTCGTCATTAACTTGTTATGATATTCGCTCTTAAAGTATGGTTTCACTATGGGTTATGTTTTCTGACATTTCAATGAACGCCGTCGAAGGGTATCTAGCAAAACAATGACACTTATGCCGCAAAACTCAAATGGCACCAAATAAAAAATTGAACATTAAGTTGAAATGCATGGGCAAATTTGATAGATTTCAAGAGATACAAACCGTCACAGGCAAAACCATCGCTATTTAACTTGTAGCCAGTTCCACAGGAACACTGGAAGCTTCCAATAAAGTTGTTGCAATTTTGCTGGCACCCGCCGTTCGCAATGCTACATTCGTCAATGTCTAAACAAAACAGATATAGGTTGAAAGATTTGAGTTCACATTTTAAAATAAAGATTTGCGTTCACATTTAAATACAATTCAAGTCTTAGTTTTGTTATTTGGCTACAGATAGATATCTAGAAATACTTGCATACACGAATATATAAAGGATAGATAGTCTTACCATTACAGGAAAAACCATCTGCATTCAAATTGTAGCCAGTTACACAGGAGCAATGAAATGTACCCATTGTGTTGGTACATACATGGTCACAGCCACCATTTGCAGCTAAACATTCATCAATGTCTGCATTGAGAGAAAGATAGAGAAAGACATTCTAGTCACTAATACATCTAAATCCTGTTGCTGGTTGCAATATTTCCAAGGCAACTAGCATTAAACTATCTAACTTTAAAGTTATTCTCAAAAAAAGGTAATGCAACGAGATATGATTTAAAACTGGGCAGAGTTCAGCCTGATTATAATCTAAATATCGCATCAAGTCGCTACAACGTGACTTTGGGTAGAACAGAAAACGTGCAGATGAACACTTTTGTGCAAGAAGGGCTTTTATTGGTAAGGAGAAGGGTGTATGATTGAAAACAATAAAAACTATTAATGTTAATTTTCGTAAGTATATGTTATCTGTCAAGGTTTAACTAAACGTTCTATTGAAACTGTGGCCCATTTAAGGCGAGATGCTTAACTAAAACCATCGATACATATTGTGTTCCTTGTGCGTATGTACACACACATGCTATACCTACATAAGGCCACACCGACTTAATTTTGTGGATGACCTCCTCTGAAGACCCCCAAACTAGTGCGCGCGGCGAATAAAAAAAAAATCCGGCCAAAAATAAAAATACTACTTACCAACAAAAATACAAAAGCTGGTATTTTGAATTTGCGTCAGTACATAGCGACGTACAACACGACAAGCCGACACATGTTGGCGGTTTGCGGAGTTTATGAATCAGCACTGTACGTATTTACTGAGATCTTGAGTCTTGGAGCTTCGGTACCCTGGGTGCCATCCCCCAGGGTCACCCCCTGCTCCCTATTGACGCTAACTACCATGGGCTACCCAGGCCTAGAGCAGGGCAAGAGCTTCGGAGGACGTGATTATTTTTTCGAGGACAACTGAAAATCAATGCGCGCGAGGGTGTCATCCATAACATTAAGATAGTATGGCCTAACTGATCTAAATGTAAATGGGTTTGATTGAATTGGGATTTAAAGAAAACGGCATTTTAGTTTCAGATTAACAACCTACCGCTGCACGAAGGGACATTTCTGCTCCAAGACTGATCCGCTTGACAGGTGGAAAGAGAATCTCCGCTCAGATAATATCCTAAGTTACACGTGAAGTGAACCGTGTCCATGTAGAAGTTGTTGCCAGTCGAAGCACCATTTACAGGGGATGGCAATGGCGGGCACTGCACACCTGGTAAAGAAAAAAGAAATGTATCATTGTTGTAAGTGCCTTATATATGATGTTCAACCAAAGTATCGGTAGTAGAATTGTGCTGGTGGGTGTTTGTAAATGACTATTATGTATTTTAAGTATCAGGTGTATATATTTTCGAAGAACTGTATTGTCCCAATCTAACGCCGAAAGTGTGGTGTTTTGTTTCAGTATATAACATTCATTGTAGTATGTATGTAATATACAGTATTATCTAGTTGACATGGCTATGTATAGTATATGTTTTTGCTTGTCTGGCTGTGCGCTTTGGAGCAGCTAAACTTACGTGTGCACGTTGGGGCAACCCCGTCCCAAGTACGATCAGCTTGGCAGGTCAAACTGACTCTTCCAACAAGATCATATCCAGTATCGCACGTAAACTGCAACAAGTCCTGGTAGAAGTTAAATCCCGTCATTTCACCGTTCACAGGAGCTATCAGGACCGGGCACTCCACACCTAAAAAAAATATTATCAACTCAGAAATGCGTCTTTAAATTTTGCAAATGAGCAATATCATTAACGAGGAGAAAGAGGCCAGTTCTGGCGTAAGCATTTAGGCAGTAGGCAAATCACGGTGGACAGGTAGGCAATACCATTAAAAACATTTAAAAACAAGCAGATATAGTGACCAAACCCACACCACATATTCCTGACAGGAAAAGCTATTTGTCACCTAAAAGACAAGAGCATAGCATGTTCAGGACAAAAAAATACAAAAACCGGAAGTTCTGGTGCAGCACTAAGGTCATCCACCAGGAGGTCCATATTTGAACATGACCTTCGTCTTACTAGGACTAACCAGAATACTATATATCATCACAATCCATAAAGGCGTTATGAAGTTATGCTGACCACACATGTGCTGAAACACAGACACACACACAGACAACACGGTAATTTCCTTGAAGGTAATGAAGGGGATGTTTAAATTAAAAAAAAATACTAAGCAAAGGCATCTGTTTATCTCACGAGTACAAGTTGGCGCAATCCCGTCCCACGTGCGGTCAGCTTGGCAGGTCAGGCTGGAGGATCCAACAAGCTCGTATCCAGTATCGCACGTGAACAGCACCACTTCTTGGTAGAGATTGCCTCCGGTCACGACTCCATTCGCAGGAGCTACCTGCATTGGGCACTGCACGCCTAATCAAATAAAAAAAACATATACATTTTGTTGATTATAAATTTAATTTTATAAGCATAGGAAATCCCCAAAATAATTTTACTTTTATTCCCTTTTTTTAGTATGAAATCAACAAAAGTTATAACATGTATCTTTTAGTTACAATCTCGATTAGGGACTGTCCCATGACACTATCCGCATGTTTGGGAAATGGTAAGCTTGCGTTTGAACGCTGTATATAATTTGCATCGGAAGATTGATTGAAAACGTCCATTACTATTTATTGATTGTTTCCACGGAGTCAAATTATTTTAACCTACGTGTGCAGGTTGGAACGACCCCATTCCACGTGCGATCAGCTTGGCAAGACAAGCTGGAGGTGCCGACACGATCGTATCCGGAGTTGCACGTAAACTCTACCACGTCTTGGAAAAAATTGCTGCCAAACATTGCACCGTTCACTGGAGCCGTCAGCACTGGACACTCTATGCCTAGTAAGTTAGAAAAAAATCAGAACAATTTAACAAAATTGAGGCTTTAGTAAAAAACATGACAAAATTTATTTCAATCAGTACGTTTATTAAAGTATTGTTTATCCTACGTGAGCATGTTGGGGCGCTCCCACTCCATGTGGCATCAGCTTGGCATGTTATGGTAGGATTCCCAACAAGATCATGTCCTAAATAGCACGTAAAATGTACCACGTCTTCATAGAAATTAGATCCAGTCTTTGCACCATTTGCAGGATCTGCCTGAAGCGGGCACTGCACACCTGGTAAAGACAAAACGTGTTTCAGATCAATGTCATGACAGTGACAGAATAAATCAGAAAGATTTAAAAATCGAATCAAATGACAACCCATTTCTTAGCACTGAAATATTGTTGCTCGTACGTGTGCATGTTGGGACTGCCCCGCTCCACGTGGCATCAGCTTGGCACGTTAATGCAGAGCTTCCTACAATATCATATCCAGCACTGCATGTGAACAGCACCGAATCCTCGAAGTAATTGGAGCCAGTCATCGCACCATTTTCAGGAGCTGTCAACAGTGGGCACTGTACACCTAGGTGGGAAAATGCATTCTAAATTAAGTCCTCTTGCTGACAAAATAGAATGGATCGCGTGAGCAAGAACTTACTCAAAAAGAACTACACTATTTATCTTACGTTCGCATGTTGGAACTGACCCACTCCACGAGGCATCGACTTGGCATGCTAAGTTAGAACTTCCATCAAGCTCGTATCCAGGATTGCAGCTGAACTGTATGATGTCCTGATAGAAATTGGATCCGAACATGGCACCGTTTACAGGAGCTGTCAGTAGCGGGCACTCCACAGCTAATGAAATAAAAATAAATTTTCAGACCAGCGCAAAAAAAATATTTTTGAGTTAAACGAAATTGGTAACTTGAATAATAAAAAGAAATAAAAGACGTAAAAGTCAATCTTGGTCATACGTGTGCATGTTGGAACAGTCCCAGTCCATGTTGCATCAGCCTGGCAGGTTAATTCGTTATTTCCCACAAGGTTATATCCAGAACCGCACGTAAAATGCACCACATCTTGGTAGAAATTGGATCCAGTTTTTGCACCATTTGCAGGAGCTGACAGTAGCGGACACTGCACGGCTATTCAAATTAAATAGGGTAGAATTTAAAAGCTGTCTCAAAAAAAGGAAAAAAGTATCTTGTATGAGTTAGAAGGTATGAATTAAAAAAAAACAGTAACACAAATGGAAAAATTATTCTACTAAACAATAATTTTCGCCATACGTAGGCATATTGGGACAGCCCCACTCCATGTGGCATCAGCTTGGCAAGTTAATGAAGGATTTCCTAAAAGGTTGTATCCTGAATTGCAGGCGAACGTCAACACGTCTTGATAGAAGTTGGATCCAGTCATTGCACCGTTTGTAGGAGCTGTCAGCAGCAAACACTCCTTGCCTATCAAACAAGTACACGAAGAGAATTAATTCAGAGCAACCTCATCAATAGAAGAATAGGTCTGCTTGGAAAAACTCTTGGACAAATATTTTTTTTTTTTCTTTAACTGGTTAAAAAATCCATACGTGTGCATGTTGGGGTGGTTCCGCTCCAGGTTGCATCAGCCTGACAGGTTAATGCAGAGTTTCCTACAAGGTTGTATCCGGAACTGCACGAGAACTGTACCATGTTCGGATAGAAATTGGATCCAGTTTTTGCACCGTTCACAGGAGCTGTCAGTAGCGGGCACTGCACGGCTGGAAAAAAAATTAAAAAAATAAAAAGACGTGCATCATCAAGGAACATAATGGCACAACACATGCCCAATTACATAGAAAAGCGACGTACGGAAGAATGCTTTTTGGCTGCGAACATCTTCCGAAAAACTTAAGGGGGCACACCCCAGTTTATTTGGCGTCTCTATTGGAGGCTGCACACCCTCAAATCTAGCGACCGTATCTGGCGTGGAATAATTCGGAATGACAATAACTGTATATTGGACGAAAGGATATCTCTTCAGCTACAAGACCAGCTGAGTTTGGTTTCTTCAACCTTTTTAAGTTTGGTAAAATCAACGGAAAAAACATTTTTTTCACTCCAAAATTAATGCCCCAAATTGCGAATTTTCGCGTAGGATAATCCCATAGAAAAGAATTTTCCGGCAGAAATGACTGATGCTGGCAGAAAGACCCAAGCCTTGACTATACTCGAGTAAATTATAAAGAAAATTCTAGTACTGTAATTTTCTAAACAGTCCACGGCGCGAGGGGTTGCAAATGCACCCCTACGAGGGCGCAGAGCGAAATCTAGGTCAAACGGGCGGATTACACTTGGCGCGCAAGGATACCCGGAAGTAAGGTTCGGAGCCAAAAGAAATTTTCACCCCAAAAACACCACTTCCTACACTCTTCAGCCATGTTAATGTTTAATGACACTTCGTGGCAGTTTATGAGAAATGTCACCTCAAACTTGGACCCTCAAAACCCTTTCGTCACTTTTTTACAACGGACTATCACGGACCCCGGTCGCGCAAGAACTGGAGTGTGCACCGTTAAGCATCTCTTAAGCACGGGCAAAAACATCTGGAACCACTTATCGGGGCCTCACCATATCTGCCTAAAGTTCCACACCCCCCATCGCTATTCCAAACAACTGGTTTTTCTGGACCATTCCAATTTGCCTCATACGTGTAGGGTACCGGTGCATGTGCCATATTACATTGACCGCGAAAGCAACAACGGCAAAAATACACATTCGTGCATCAACACGCGCATGCCCGTAGACGGTGTATAAAATTTCGTACCGATTACTTAAAGAGAACCCGGTGTTTTGACTAAGAACACGAAAAAACAGCTCTTCACAACACTCCGTCCGGAGGTCCAGACCTCCTTCACGGAGCAATGAATACTACCCGTTAAAAGATAATGCTAGTCATACGTGTGCATGTTGGAACAGATCCGCTCCAAGTGGCATCAGATTGGCAAGTTAATGCAGAATTTCCAACGAGGTCGTATCCGTAACCACACGTGAATTGTACCACGTCCTGGTACAAGTTGGATCCACTCATTGCACCGTTTGCAGGAGCTGACAGTAACGGGCACGCCACGGCTAAAACAAGGGTAAAAAAACTTTGAATTTTTACGTCAAATAACCATCTTGTCAAGCGAAACGATTCACAACAATAATTCTTATACCTCATATCTACATGACATAATTAGAAACTTTGCAACTTTTATTTTATATTCGATCATGATTACAATCTACTTTAATGGTTTTCTCAACTTAGAATACATATACATATATTATGCCTTAATTTTTTGTTACATACTTTCATTACTATTATGCAAAAGACATGCACCCTAGCATAATATGCACCGGGATATTAACCTGTAACTACAACTTTACACGTATGAATTTACTATAGTGTCCATAAATGAAAGGCACAGAATCTAACCTCCACAACTGGGAACATTGCCACTCCATGTGCCATCGGCTTGACACGTGATACTTGCAGCACCCACACGTTCGTAACCGGAGTGACAGGTGAACTGTATGACGTCCTGGTAAGAACTGGAACCACTCATGTCACCGTTTGCTGGTGCTGTTAGTGTCGGGCATTGTACAACTGCAAAGATATGGAAAGACTCTTGTCGCCCTTTCTGAATTTCAAATCTTCATATCTGATGTTTACCCTGCACTTATCTTGTTATCAACCTACGTTAAACTACGAGTTTTTAGTAGATAATTAATTTTTTAATCATTAAGAGATGTCAATTTGTTTTATATAGAAATTAGGAAGCTACTGATGAGAATATTTTTAAAACTGCAAATACCCATATTGTGTGTATTGTAAAACGAGCTCAATGTTGTGTAAATACTAACGCAATTCAGACTTTTGTCTGCTATGTGGTATTGGAAATAAAGTCTCAAATGATATTTTTTCATGTAACCTAAACATGAATTATAGCAGCGTCCAGGCAAAATTAAAATTACGTATTTCCAGGTATCAAATTATCATCTTTACTTACAAAACAAAATCTACTTGAATTTATGAATAGATAATCAACATCACATCTTAATATTCTCAAACTATTTCAACCTCAAACATTTTCTATAGTACTTGAAAGAGGCACTAAGTCGGGAGAGTGGTGTTATGTTGCTATAGATAAAAGTTTGATCAAATGAAAAATGCATACTATTTCACAGCATACGATAACTAGTTGTACGAAAAAAAGTCATTATTATGGGAACTTCAAGAAAACAAAATACACCACTCATACAGATGTTAAAAACAATGTGCCGGATAACAGTTAGCTCTAAAAATTACTAGAGTAGAAAAAATCACATTGATCGTATACTTCTCATTCATGATAAAATCTCAAAAATACTTTAATGTTTTTTTAATAGGTGTAACCATTTGTTACCATCAATACTAAATATATGCACGCTAAAGTTAAAATTTTACATTTTTAACGCGGTAGCTACAGTGATGTCGCTTTACAAAACACACTTCAAACTACGTCGATGAAGGTTAGACATCCAGATAATACGATAAGCCAAAAAGCAGTTACGGAGAGATCCACCCGTAGCCCCCTTCCCTGTTGAGGGTGGCGTTGTACATTCTTTCATATATTGCCTCTTTAACACCCCGTTCCCACCAGCGTGTTTCGCGGTCTAAGATATCCGTGGACTCAAGTTTGAAAGAGTGACCCTGTTGTGTTGTAGGTGGTTGAAAATAGCTGAGGAGTAGCCGTTGGCACCAGGTCTGCAATGTTCTTTGTATCCTACTTTGAGCGGTCTCCTCGCATTTGAGTTTGTAAATAACATACGCCTTGGTACCTTTGTGATGTCGGTCCTTAGGGTGTACCAGTCGTTGTCTGAGCGTTGAGTGAGGTTTGAAGTTAGTGGCTATGTTGAAGTTTTGGAATATCCGTCGGAGTTTCTTAGATACTCCTTGGACATACGGAATAGTGATGTTGACCATGTTTTTGTTGGTCAATGGTTTGCACTTCTGGATTAAGCTCCTCTTCTGTATAACAGGAGCTTTCTGACTAATTTGCATTATCTTGTCTTGACTTGTCTGACTTTTGTTCCTTTTTCGACTTCCAAAAATTTGTCTTCACTTTATTTGCATATCGATCAACAGTTTGTGCTTATAAACCTACATTTCTCCTCTGGTCTCTCAGTCACTGACGAAAGCTGGTGGATACTAGCTGAAACGTCTGACGTTTTCAAAATCATATCCAGTTGCTTGAGTAAATGCTTTTTGGCACACGTCAAACTAATGGTATCATGCAAGTTCTTCTTCTTCTTTTCGTCTTAGCAGACGCTCTGCTCAACGTCGATGGGCTCGTCCGTGTGCGGCCAGCCCAGCTTTACTCCTGCAGAGTTTCCCGCAGGTTGTGAAGGTGAAAGCGGGTGTTGCAGAAGGATGGTGTCTTTTTTGCCTTCTTGTGGTCTCATTTTGGACCAGGTCATCTTCCAGTTTCTTGGCACCTTGGCGAAGTGCATACCGCCATGCAGTGCGGTTTTGTGCAAGGTGCTCCCAGTTGGCACCAATGTGAAAAAGCTATCATGCAAGTATTGCTAAAATATTAATAGGAGAACTTACACTCCAAGTCAGGTACGTGTAGCTGAACCAACCACACACACAAACAGACACACAGACAGATAAGCCAAAAACAACACCTCCTATTTTTCATGGAGGTAATAATAATGGTTATATAAAAGCGAAACATCACCTTCGCAGGTCGGGTCACTTGCAGTCCAAGTCAGGTCTGCCTGACAGGTACGTGTAGCTGAACCAACCAGGTTGTATCCTGAGTCACACGAGTATGTGACTGTGTCGCCCAAGGAGTTAGAACCAGTCACGGCACCGTTTGTAGGAGCTGGCGGGGTGGAACACTGTCCAGCTGTATATCGTGAATATTGCTTATTACCGCCATGTTTAAAATTGTCGAAGTTGCTATTTACAGAGAAATTAACTAATTGATTTTTTTTTTATTTCCACTTTTATGACAATATTAACAGAACGTGTATATATAAGAATAGAGCGTTCGTTTTACTCCAACCTAAGTTTGTTTTTTTTTTCATTGTGCAAAGAACAGCAAAGTAAACAAAATATACAATGGTAAAGGTTATATAAAAGGGAAACATCACCTTCGCAGGTCGGTTCACTTGCAGTCCAAGTCAGGTCTGCCTGACAGGTACGTGTAGCTGA